CGCCTAGGTTGCTGATCATACCTAGGTGAAGGCATGTTCGCCTCGAACAATTCATTTCTTCTATCCCGGGGGCTCTCCCGTCAGGTATGGTATGCATAATCTCGACAATTGGTGGTGTCATGGCCGTACGAGCGATGGTACATACAATACTCAGGGGGATTCTAGTTCGACCTATTCCTAGGTTCCGATCCATGCCCTCGGCCTCTCCCCCTACGGGGGGCCTATTGTGAAGTTCCGGTCTGCTGAGTGTTGATCATGGGATTGACATCTTCATATGCCAATGTCGGAACCGTATTCAAAGTAGTGGTGACAAGTGCTTGCCCAGAATTTTCATTACTACCTTGGTTCATCTGGTAGTCCATCAAGTGGGAGGTCGACCCTCTGGCACGTTGCCTTTTTGAAGGTGGGAGGCCTCTGTTGGCCTTGTTTCTATGCTCAATCAATTTTTCATTGATTATTTCCCGCCTCATCATCTCAAGTAGGGCGTTGTAGGTGGTGGGATCCTGATTTTGCACGTCTCTCCGGAATATGGTGTTCATATTCAGACCTTCCATCAATGCCGATAAGGCCTAGCGATCAATGACTTGTACACAATACGTCATTTTGTCAATAAAGCGTGAAAAGACGCTTTTTAGAGATTTTCCATGCGCCTGTCTCATATCTTGAAGACATTGGATATGAGCCTCTCCTTCTTTACTCACATCAAACCTCTTCAGGAAGGTAGTTTTGAACTTCGGCCAACTCCTTATGCTCCCAGGCGGTAGCCTACTATATCAAATTTCAGCCGTTCCACTAAGTGTCAAGTGGAAGGCCCTGCACTTCACTGTCGGAATGGCTCCTCTCAGGCTTATATGGGTCTTATAAGCATTCAAATGCTTCTCCGAGTCGCCTCTCCCATCGTATTTTGATATCTTAGGCATAACATAGTGGCTCGGTACCTGGGCGCTCCTTAACTCCCTTAAAAATGGTAGATTTTCATCATCATCATCCAAGTCACGGGACCTTTGCTACTCATCTAAGTCATTGTTCTCGTCAGCTTCATATCTAGGTGGCGGATATGAAGGACCAGCCTGGTTTCTCGCCTCCTCCTCCCTCATTTGGTACCTATTTCTAGGTGGAGCATTACGGGGGGCATTTTCATGCCTTTCCTCCAGTTGCTGAGTCAATGTTTGTGGGCTGTGGTCTTGCTCGAGGTTCACGAGGCTGATGCTGCTGCCTATGCCTCGGTTTGGCTGGGTTGATTCTGTCAAAAATGTTGTTCGACCTCCTAGGTCTTTGTTCCGGCTCATATGCAGGTGAGAAGTTATCCTGGTTATATGGGACCTCAGTAGGTCAGTGGGAAGCATAGTTGGAAAAAAACGTCAACTTCTACCTCCCTTTCCAGGGGTATACCACCTTGGTTGTATTCTAGTGATGCAACCCTTTGGCTTTGGACCTCTTCCTCTTGTTGTAACTGCCATTGAGGTGCATAGGGAGGCATGAGGAAACCTCCCTGGCCCTGCATCTGGGCCATGAGCTCTCTCAAGGCCATGTTTTGGTTTGCAATGTCCCTCATGCTTGCAGCCATGGTAGCTATCTCTCTTGAGATTTAGGCAGCCATTCTTGTACCACCTCTTCTGTGAGGTTGTTAGGGCCTGCGATGAGTTATTGAGGCTGCCCCTGTGTTTTTTCTCACCCTCCTAGGGGGTGCATCCTCATCTGAGCTCATATTTCTATGTTTCAGCGTCAAATTTCATCCAAGTTATGGGGCTTCTTCTTGTTCTTTTTCAAGAACAAATTCTTTTTCAAGAAGGATGCCCAAATGTTCTTTTCGATAAGCTTTCTCCACACGGTTGCTCCTAGTTATAGTAGGGTTTTCTACAGACGACGCTAATCTGTTGACCCTAGAATATGTTTCCAACAGATACCGGACTCACTCGTGCACATATAAGCCTGGTTCAACACGCTAAGACACGTGGATGGTCTAGAACTAGTAAAAGCGGGTGTGGGAGCGACTCAAAGGCGCAGGACGAGGACGTTCACAATCCAACGAGATGTTTGCATAACGATTGTACAATAATTACCAATCGATGTTTGTAAAATGCGTGTAAGAATTCGTGTATGTTGCAAGAGAGTGAAATGTAATGAATTTTGTATTTGTTCTTGTGTTAAATCTTGCATTAGCTTTTTATGGGGTACATGGGGGAATATTTATAGTGCCTTCAATTAGGAGTATATGTGGCCTCATCTCGTTAGTTTACATGTCAAACTGTAGGTATCAAGTTTGACCACCTAGCCTGCTATATATATATTAATTGGCAGAGTCGCCTCTACTCTAACGCGACTCTACGAAGACAAAACACTGGCACTCTATGATGGGTGTCCCATCAATCATTCAAAGAGGATTCTCATGTAAGGTCGGATCTCTGGGGAGAAGTGATGCAAGAGGTGCTTCAGGGCTTCGACGTTGGCATGACGGGCCTCGATATGAATAGCCTTGAAAATAAGAACCACTTAGGCATACAACACTTTGGCATTCTAGAATACGGGCCACATCGTAGGCCGTGTTCCGAGTGGTTCCTGATTCTTTGTGAGCCTAAGGGCCTCGGCCACTATGCCATGTGGTTCGTAATAGGTGGGCCATGATCCTCAGAGGGTCGGCCAAGTGTGTCAGCACATAGCAATCACCACGTAGGGCCCACCCATGTGAGTTGTCTGGTTAAATTCTGTGAAACAAATTTTTGCGCAAGGGCTTTATCGTTCTTCGATCAACACCCATGCGAAATTCAATCAAGTCAATGGCATGAAAATCGCAAGTCCTTTTAAGCTCCATTTTCCCCAATTGGAGATCAGCCATAAAATTAAATTTATAGATTTCACTTATCATGGAAATCTATAAGGCGTGCATCATTCATCACTTCACGAACACGGATATAAACTTGAAAGGTCCAACAAATCTTATATTCAGATGTGATTATCAATAACTCATGTGTTTGTAATCGCACGTGTATGATGTTGATTAAGAAACTATTTGAGCCCCATTTTCTGTCCAAAATGCATTTTGAAATAGTATTTTGATGGAGAATTTGTGGTTAAAAAAATAAGGAAAAAATTTGGATTTGCAAGTAATATTATTTTATTGAAAAATGTATGGTTGAAAATAAGAGAGAGAGATGTAATTTGAAAATAATGGGAATCAAATAAGGGCTAAACAAGTAATAGTAAAATGGACCTAAAGAATTTAGATTATCATTTTCACTAGTACTATCTACCTAACTATTGGTTTGACTCTATCCAACTTTAATTCGAGTGAAAATAATTAAAAATTTGTTTTATGATCTTAAATACTATAAATCTAAGGAAACAATTAAAGAATTCACAATTAGGCAGTTTAGGGTTTAGTGGATATACGAAAAAGTGTTAGGATGAACGAGTTCATCATGATTATCCCCTTAATTTCAATCACCAAATTCAAACAAAAATAATTTACCTCTCTTGTGTTAAAACCAATCATACTCAATTAAGTTCATTTACACATCTCCCCGTGAATTAGGGTAACCTTATTAAGAGCATTCAATCATTAAAGAATTCAGTTAAGGATCACACCCTCTTTCTAAAAATCTGTCTCGAAACCCCTCTCTCCCCTTGTTTAGACACGGACGAGGTCTTTTAATAATTGTGGAAGTGTCTTGGGAGTTGTAACTCGAAAATACCGCTAAAACTCATTGAAAAAAAAATGAAGGAATAAGTTACTCAGACGGTTTGAAAACAAGTCTGCATGTTAGCACTTATTTTTTCATCTTTTTCTTTTTTATAAACTGTCGAATCAATGTGTGACACGTGTTTCCTAGATTTTAAACCTGTCACCTACCCTGTTTTTGTAGCATAACTCAAAAAAAAATACACACTTTTTTGCCCAACAGGCTACAGTTTGAAAATTGCAGCCTAGATCGCGGCAAACAGCCACAGTTGACCACGGTCAACCCTGAATTTTTCAGGTTATTTCAATTTGAACAATGCTTCATGATTTTCGTCTGATTTTAACATTTTTAATCCTAATCTTCAATATTGATTCTGCAACTTTCAAAAGCATCTATATTGGTCTTCAAACCTCAATAATCTTCTAAAATTGGTCATTCTCAAGTTCCGAAAGTGTGCAAATTAGTTTCTAAACTTTTCAAATATTGAATTTCACTCTCGAAACTTGGGATTTTCTACCTATAGCTCTCGTAATACTTCTTATCAATCATGTGCAATTCTTTTGGTTTTCAATTGCTTTGAATAACTCTAATTAAGCTCGAAAATCGTCATTTTTTTTATTTTTATTTATATTTTTTTACTCTAAATGCCTCCAAGTCCGAGTTTTACCTACAATAACAATATTTTCACTAAGCAAAGTAGAAATACCCACAAATTTTCAAATATAACTCAAGTTTATAAGTACAATAAAACGTGTAAAATACACTTATCAATAACCGTAAGCTTCCAATTAAGGGCATAGAGGGCAATCTTAGTCAGTCCAATTTTTTATATTTAAAAACAAACTTTTTATGGAATTTTTTATAGGATAAATATGTTAACCGCACATTTTTTGTTAATTGAATTACATTTTAATTGTAATGAAAGTCCTAAATTTTGCTCATTTTGGCACTTATATTCCCCAACTTTTCTTCATCACAATTTATGCATAACACTTCAATTAATTTACAAATCTTGTAAGTTGTATGATAATTTCTGTCTAAATATTCTATTAGCATGGGGAAATATTTTGTATTTGTTGTTTTATCTTGCTTATTCATATTAAAATGGACAAGTAAGTCTTTTTCCTCCTCCATAATGGAATTTTTTTTTTTTTTTTTTGGCCATCATAAGTACAAAGATGTGCTAACTATTAGAAGATTAAAAAAAACAAAATTAAAAAAAAAAAAGTTGAGTTATCCATTTGAAAGTTAGTTAACTTTCCATCAATAAGTGAGCTAGCTTGTTAGCCTCTTGATTGAGGACAAGAAACTAAATAGTCATCCCCTTAGACCGACCCTGAAGCTTCTCTTGTTATTCTCATGTCTCTTTGTGTAGAATAGGAACAAACAGTCACTTGTGTCTCTTGCCTGCATGCAGCAATCCATCCATTTCACAATGTGAATTCTTAATATTCTCTTCGATGAATTGGGTAAATAAAAACAAAATACTATTCACCCCTATATTTTCATTCAAATTCAAGAAATATCTTTGTTGATCAGCCAATAAATTTCAAGTGTATTTAAGCTCCATTTTCCGTCAATGACCACATATTATTTCTCTATTAAACTGCAGAGGAAGTAGAGAAGAAAAGGGAAAAAGTGATGGCCGGAGGAGGTGACAGCGACGGAGAATCCTTAGATTATACACCTACTTGGATAATCGCACTTGTTTGTATTAGCAGGAACATTCCTTGGAAAGACAAGGACGAAAATGAAAGAAGCCAGTCTAGTTGCACACAAAAGGAATCCCAGTCCTTTACAAGCAATCAATTCAATGGAAGGCCTTCCAAGACAGCCAACATCCATTTAGCCTAGAATCAATCAAGCCAGCCAAAGTGTTTTCCCAATTCTGTCCAGCAATTACAACAATCAAGGAATTCACCAGTCATTTACATACCTGATTTAGAATAGATTTTGTTTCTGTTAGGAAATGCCAAAAATAAATAAAAGATTGTAATATCTCTACAGCACATGGAACCAGTATAAATAGAAACAATTGTACAGTCTCCAGCACGTTGAGCTGAGACACTTAAACCAGTACTTTCTTCTGTTTGTACTGTAATTGTGGCCATCTCTTTAATTGTTGAAAGACTCCTCCATTATGCCGGAAAGGTCCTTAAATTCTGCATTCTTTTCGTGTATTAATTCTTCGTTATCTTATCCTGCTGCTGGTAACTGTTTTTTCAATATGAAGATCATGATCATGATGATGTAAGGATTTTTTAATTAAAGATGGGCTTGTATGTGTGAATAATTGTGTGTTAAATTATAGGCTATCGAATTCGATTGAGCCCAATTAAAGTGATCTAATAAGGCTTCGATTTTGGGATCCAGTTAAAGTATGGGTTTACATATGTGTAGAAACCGGGCCCAAGTCCTAATTCTATGATGGGCCGAATTAGGTCAAAGGGCATCCCTATATAAATAACTTATGGTCCCCAGATCACACGCAACGTATTATTCATTCTCTACTGCATCCCATCACAGAGAGGAAAAGGAGACTGCGTGTAGATTTGGAAGATCATACCTCGAAATTCATATTGCATTAACTATGTCTGATTCAGGTATGCTTCCGCTTTAATTCTTGATTTCTTGATGATTTAACATGAAAGATCTAGTAATTTAAAGCATTAAATTATCCAACAAGTGGTATCAGAGCCTCTTCATGTTGAATCATTGAGAATCAAAAATTTTAGTTTGGTTCTTGCAATATTTTGTAAAGTTTTCAGATTTGACAATTTAGAATATATATTTTGTTAAATTTGAAAATTTTTGCGGTATAATTTTTGTTATTTTCGTTCGGATTAATTAGTTTAGAAAATTTAGATTTGGAATTCAGATTTTGGTTTCAGATTTAAAAAAAAATTAAAAATATTCCGGCAGCGGCGCAGCGCTGCGCAGGCAGCAGCATACAGCAGCGCTGCTGCGTGTGGCGCCGGAGTGCGCCGCTGCCAGAAGAAGAAGAAAGAAAAAAAATTTAGGTTTTTCGATTTTCTGGATTTTTTGAGGGCGGGGGCCTCTTCTGTAAATTAGATGAATTGAGGTCCTTAGTTGCAATTAGGGTTAGGTTATAAAATTAAGGTTTCAGTCCCTAACCTTTAAGTTATATTAAGTTTTGGGCCTTTAAGTTTTGGATTTAATAATTCAGTTCCTAAGGTTTTAAAATTAATTAATTTGGGCCATTAAAGTTCTGAATTTATAATTAAAGCCCTCAAACTTTAATTACTAGTTCAAATTGGCCCCCTAAGTTCATAATTAATTCAAATTGACCCCTAAAGTTTCAAATTTTTAAAATTTGATCCCTAAAGTTTTGAATTGGTCAATTTTGGCCCCTAAAGTTTTAAAATTTGTTCTAATTGATCCTCTAAAGTATTGAATTAATTAATTATGGTCCATAAAGTTTCAAGTTTATTAATTTCAACCCCTAAAGTTTGAAATTAATTAATTTTGCCCCCTTAAAGTTTTGAATTATTAATCCTAATCCCCTAAAGTTTAAAACTAATCAAAATATGCAAAATTGGTGATTCTCTTTCTCAAATTTTGGTACTAAAGACTCTTTTAAGAGATATAATATTCGAAAGTTAGTTAATTGAAACAACATGTTGCCAAAGCAACCTCTCTTGTGAAAATTGACTAACTTAGAATGTTAAAAAGTGTTTGTGCACGTGTTATTCATGGGAATATTGGTCGGCCCAAAGGAAGGTCAATATTTAGCCGAATACACGTGTACCTGTGGTGATAAACGTGTGACGATTGTTTGGTTTAATGTGTAATCAATAAATCGGTCCAAAGAAAGATTTGTTGATTGACACGTTTTATCGTCAATGTTTGATCACTACGCCAAGAGTACCGCTTACAAGTCAATATCTCTGCCCAAAGACTGAATATTGATGTTGTGATTGGTATCTTGTGATGGGCCCTACCACTATTTGATATTATTATTATTTGCATATTAAAGATATTCAAGTGAGCTATTCATAATAAATGTTCTCTAATTTAGTTTCAGGTTCTGCTACTAATATCTCTGCTAGCATCAATTCAATTTCAATGTTAAATGGCACAAACTTCAGGGCATGGCAAGAGAACGTTGTGATTGTTCTCGGAGTCATGGACCTAGACCTTGCTTTACGGGTCGATCAACCTGCTGCACTTACTGATAAGAGTACCCTGATGACAAGAGGGAGATGAAAAAGTGGGAACGATCGAATCGCATAAGCTTAATGGTCATGAAGCGTGCTATTCCAGAAGCATTTCGGGGCACTATGTCCAATAAGGTGACTACGTCTAAGGGTTTCCTTGAGGACCTTGAGAAGAGGTTTGCTAAGAATGAAAAGGCTGAAACAAGTACACTTTTGGCAAATCTTGTCTCAATGAGGTATAAAGGGAAAGGAAACATTCGGGAGTACATTATGGAAATGTCTCACATTGCTTCAAAACTAAAGGCACTCAAGTTGGATTTATCTGAAGACTTGTTAGTGCACTTGGTTCTGATATCCCTTCCGGCACATTTCAGTCAATTCAAGGTGAGCTACAACTGTCAAAAGGACTCATGGTCCCTTAATGAGCTCATCTCACACTGTGTCCAGGAAGAGGAAAGACTGAAGCATGAGAAGACAGAAAGTGCTCATTTAGCCACCACCTCTAAGGACAAAAGCAACAAGAAAAGGAAGATTAATAAGGAAGCTGCGGGTACGGCACCGCAAAAGAAACAGCATAAGGAACCAACTGAAGGCGGTTGTTTCTTTTGTGGAGCTGCAGGTCATAAGAAGAAGAATTGCACCAATTACCACACATGGCGTGTAAAGAAAGGTACTCTTCTTCATTTGGTTTGTTCTTAAGTTAATTTAACTTCGGTACCTAGACATACATGGTGGATAGATTCTGGTACAACAACTCACATCAGTATGTCTATGCAGGGTTGCCTGAGTTGCCGAAAACCAAGTGATGGTGAAAGATACATCTATACTGGCGACGGCAATAGAATGGAAGTAGAGGCAATAGGAAAATTTAGATTATTGTTAAAAATTGGATTTTATTTGGATCTTGTTGAGACATTTATTGTACCGTCTTTTAGACGGAATTTGATTTCTATTTCTGTTTTGGACAAATTTGGTTATACTTGTTCTTTTGGAAATGGAAAATTTAGTTTGTTTCATGATTCATAATTGGTTTGTTCCGGTTCTTTATCAGGTTACGATAATCTTTATTCAATTGATACAATTGATTCTTATAATGAAACCTTGCATGTAAGTACTCGAGGTGTAAAATGAAAATTAAACGACGAGAATTTTGCCTCGTTGTGGCACAAGAGATTAGGTCACATCTCCAAAAGGAGAATTGAGAGACTTGTGTCTGACGGGATTCTCGACCCTCTTGACTTCACAGATTATGATTTGTGTGTCAACTGTATAAAGGGAAAACAAATCAATAAAAGGAGATTTCAAGCCAATAGGACTTCGGACGTCTTAGAACTTATACATACGGATATTTGTGGACCATTCCCTACGGGTTCTTGGAATGGTCAACAATAATTTATAACATTCATAGACGACTTTTCAAGATATGGCTACATATATCTCATTCATGAAAAATCACAGTCACTGGATGTGTTCAAAAACTATAAAGCTGAAGTTGAGAACCAACTCGGCAAAAGGATTAAAAACGTCAGATCTGACCGTGGGGGTGAATACTATGGCAGATATGACGGTTCGGGTGAACAGCATCCAGGACCGTTTGCTAAATTTCTAGAGGGATGCGGTATCATCCCACAATACACTATGTCGGGTTCGCCCACTAAGAATGGTGTTGCTGAAAGACGAAATAGAACGCTCAAGGACATGGTGAGGAGTATGATTAATCATTCTACCTTACCAGAATCTCTCTGGGGTGAAGCATTAAAGGCTGCAGCTTACATACTCAACAGAGTTCCAACTAAGGCCACTGATAAAGCCCCATATGAGCTTTGGACGGGCAAGAAGCCTAGTTTGAAGCATATACATATTTGGGGGTGTCCAGCTGAGGCAAGGCCCTATAAGCCAAATGAAAAGAAACGGGACGCAAGGACCATCAGTTGCTATTTCATTGGATATTCTGAAAGGTCTAGGGGTTACAAGTTTTATGATTCCACAACTAAGGCAATTTTCGAGACATGAAATGCAAGATTCTTTGAGGATGTTGAGTTTGCGGGGGGAAAAAGGGTCACAGGCTTTGTCTTTGAAGAGGAATACGTTGAAATTCCTCCAATTGCCATTGACAATGATCAGGTTTCTATCCCTGATATTGTTTAAGAAGCAACTCTGAATCGAGACAATGTCATACCTCCCTCTCAAAATCAACAAATTGTTCCAGAAGAACAAACTCTACACTCTCAAGAACCAATGCCATTAAGAAGATCCACTAGAGAGAGGAGAAGTGCGGTTTCGAATGATTACATCGTATTTCTTCAAGAACATGAAGTTGACATTGGAATGGTGGAAGATGATCCGATCAACTTCCGTCAAGCCATGAAAAGTTCTAACTCTCAAAAGTAGCTCGATACTATGAATGAAGAGATAAAGTCCATGAAGGACAATGACGTATGGGACCTCGTTCCATTGCCTAAGGTGTGAAACCCATTGGTTGCAAATGGATATTTAAGACCAAAAGGGATTCGAAAAGTGATGTAGAGAGGTATAAGGCTCGTCTTGTCGCAAAAGGCTTTACACAGAAAGAAGGTATCGATTATAAAGAGACTTTCTCTCTGGTTTCTTCGAAAGACTCTTTCAGGACTATAATGGCATTGGTAGCGCATTTCAATCTTGAGTTACATCAGATGGATGTTAAGACAGCGTTTCTCAATGGTGACATTGATGAAACAATTTATATGGTACAACCAGAAAACTTTATATCGGACGATGCAAAGCAAATGGTTTGCAAATTAAAGAAATCCATCTATGGACTTAAACAGGCATCTCGTCAATGGTATTACAAGTTTCATCAGGTGATCATCTCATTTGGTTTTGAGATGAATTTGGTTGATGATTGTATATACCACAAGT